CTGTTTCCAGCAGAGGGAAGAAATGTAACCCCTGGGATTAATGAGGCCATGGCACAAAGTGGCTGCATCTGAGCATGCTGGCATGGTGAGCAGCAGAGGTGTTGGAGACACTGCCATGGGCACTGCGCTCCAAGGGAAGGCAGAGATGGGGCTGTGCTGAGCTGCTGCTCTCAAAGTGTGGGTTTGCACCATGTACAGCAGCAGGGCACGCTCCCAGCAGGTCAGCAGTTGAGGCATTAGGGAAGGAGGGAGTGTGGGTGAGCTATTTTGATTTTGTTTGAAACAATAAAGCCCGAGCTATTTGCAATCCTAACAACAGAACCAGCTTTTAGCACCGGCGTTTATAGGGATGAGTGGGCGAGTTGTTTAAAGGGAGGAAAAAAAAAATCTTTGAAAACAGTCCAAGGAAGGGTGATAATTTCATACTGGAAGGGAAAAGCGTTGGGCACGTCTGTGTTTGCAGTGCTTGTGTATGGGGCTGCTGGGACCACAGAGGCCAGGGCACACAGGGGGCTGCAGGGGGGGGTTCAGGTGGTGACTCTGCAGGTCAGGGATGCTCTGCTTGCTCTCCTTCACTGCATCCTGTGCCCAGGTGCAAAAAGTGCTCTTTGCTGTTCTGAGGGCTCAGCTGCTGGGTCAGCCCCATCTTCTGCATGTCACCCTCTGTGCCTGCTCCATGTGCTCTGATGGGGCTGTCTCCAACTTTGGCTCTTCAGATGCAGGGCAGGGGCTCAGCTGTGGCTCACAACCCCACTTCTCTCTGCCCTAAAGCATCCCCTCAGCACAGTGGTGCAGAGGCAACAACCATGGTGCAGATGTGCAGCTCACAAGAGGGGTGGCAGTGCCTGTGCTGGTGTGCAGCAATGTCCTGCACGGAGCATGGCAGTGGCCCATTTCTCATCCCTGCCCCCTTCTTTCTTCATTTGCTGCAGCATTTCTTACAATTAAATCATGAACAGAGTGGTAGCTTAGTAGTGAGCTCTGCAGGCAGCAGCTTCACTTTAGACAGATTCCCAATCTTCTCTCTTCCGCAGCCCATGGCACCAGACCCACACAGTAATTGGTTTTTGCCTGCTCTGTCCTGAAGCCCAGACTGTGCAGGGTGATGGAAAACCTGTTTTTATTCAGGGTAATGACATTCCCCACTTCTGCAGAAAAGGTGGGCAGGAGGGTCAGACAGCAGCGTGGATGGAGAGCCGAGGGGGCACTGCACTGTTTTGTTGCTGCTTCTCTTCCTGGTGACCCATCCCACAGTCCAAACCCACGTTTGTTTGCATTTCACAAATGTAAAACCTGTCCCCGGGCTGTTGCACGGTGTTCCCATCCCTTCTGTGCTTAGAATCTCATTACGATCACAACATTCCCTCTGTTAACCAGGGCTGCGTTTAAATTCAGATTCAATTCGTGGCTGTGTATCTTCTGCAGCAGGGCCAAAAAAAAATCGCATCCCTGACAGCACGTGGAGCAGGAGGGCTCTCGGGAGCCGACGCGGGTCCCTGGGTATTTCAGTGCTTTAAATCTGAGCCATCGGATCGTGCCTGCAGGCGCACGGTGCGTCCGCTGCCCGCGGAGCTGAGCGCTTTTGCAGATGTCGTTCGGCAAAATCGATCCCGATCTATTTTTAAGGCGAAGTGTGCGCGGCGGGTGGGAGGCGAGGAGGTGGAGGGAAAGCTAAATATTCACATAGCTCCGCGCTGCGTCGGAGAGCATCGGCGAACAGCGCCGGGATCGTGGCAGCGAGGTGAGGGCGAAGCGAGAGCGGGGATGCGGCTGCGGGGGGAGAACGGCACGGCGGTGGGGCTGAGGCTTCATGCTGGGGTTGGCGGTCATCTACTCTGTGTAAATCTGTGCTCCGGTGCTGAGCGGAGCCGCTGGGGAGCGCACGGCAAACAGAGCCGTCTGCGAGCGGAGCTGGGAGAGCGGCTGCCCAGGTCGGTGAGCGCAGCGCGGCTTTCTATGGGCTCTGCTTTTTTGTTTCTGGAGCGGGGGGGATGCGTATAGAGAGACAGAAGAGGGGTTTCCTCGGGTCACGGCTTGGATAGAGCTTGTGGATGCTGGAAAAGTGAGGCTGCTTTTAAAGTTGGCTGCTGGATTTATTTTGAACTTTGTGTTACCAATGTCCGTGCTACTCCCTGGGAAGTGGATGCAGCAACCCGCGAAGCAACTGGTGCCGTGTGGATGCCTTGTAGGAGCGGTGCTGGGGGAGCTCTTCGGGGTGGGTGGAGCGCTGCCCTGGGCACAGGCTGTGCGAGTTTGACAGCTCTGAGCCAACGAGCAGCCAAGGCAGCAACAACTGCTGGGACTGGAGCAGCCCCGCTGCTGTGCTGGGAGCAGAGGCGGAGGGTGCTTCACCTCTGCATCAAACTGAGGCATCCAACCTGGGTTTCCTCCTGCCTCCTACTCCTCCTTTGCCTTCTGGATGCTCATCCCAGCACCCCTTCAGGTGCCCACCCTGCGCAGCTGGAGCAATGAGGTTGGACCTAATGCCAGGCTTTGGGGTGCACAGCAGTGCTGCTATTGGCTCCTCCATGGGGTGCTGGGGTGATGGAGCAGATGGCAGTGCTGTGTGTATTGCATGAAGTGCTGCTGGTGCTGCTCCTGCTTGGTGATTTTGGGTCAGCTGCCTGAAAAGAGAGTGGGTAAGTGCTTGGGATGCATCTGGTTGGTAGGGGAGAGACAGATAGGAGATGACACATGGGCACGGATGTGTCGGAGTGAATATCTGCTGGGTTCAGAGCACAGTTTGTCTGGGAAGTGTCTGCAGTCAAAAGGTCAGCTCTGGGGATGGGGTGCTGGGATGGGGTGCAGGGTCCTGTCCCTTCTCTGCCACGTGGTGAATCCCTTCATCTCTGTGTTGTCTGATCACTAAAATGGGATGAGGAAGAACTGTTGCTGGACAGGTTGCTGAGGAAGCGCTCTCCAAGGAATGGCTGTGGGAGCAGCACTGAAACCTGCTGTGTTATTCCCTGGCCCCTGCTGCATGGGGACATAGAGGAGAAGCCAGTCTAGCAGAGCAGTGGGGTTTGGCCCCTATGGCTGCTTTGTGCCCAGGGGACAGAGCTGGGCTGAGGCTGAGAGGTTCTATTTAGCACTGGTGAGCACCCACCTGTGCTGCACCAGGCAGTAATAACCTGCAGGTTGAGGAGCTCAGGGCAGCCCAGTGCTGGTACTGTTGTTCCCTGTGTTCCCAGCACTGCAGCTGTGTTTGACACATCCTGGATCCCACCTGGCAGGCTGAACAGCCTGCTGCTTGCACCAGCACACAGCATCCCTGCTGCCTTCCAGGGAGGGAGGTGTGTTTCAGGTAAGCAAGTGGGGCTGCCAGGCTGTCGTTAGCCAGGCTGCTGACTGCTCTGCTCTCTTGTAGAGAACAGGAGCAAAGCTGCAGTGCTGTGTACGTGGCCTTTCTGTGGGTAGGGAGCTGAGGCTTTGTACAGGGTGTGGGGTGAGCTGTGGGGCTGGGGCCTGTGGCAACACTGTGGTGGTGGTTGTGCTGTTGTAGGACTGGTGCTCGGTGCCGTTCAGGGATGCCCAGGCTCTCAGGAAGCCACAGCTCGGCAGCAGACGGTGCACCCCAGGGCACAGCCCGTCCATCTGCTTGCACAGCTCCTTCCTCAGGGCTGGCAGCAGGCAGGGCTCTGTGCAGTGTCACACTGGGGCATTTTAATTAGAGAGGTGTGGGGCTCTGAGGGGGTGCCAGGCAGAGCATCCTTCCCTCTCTTGGGTGCGTTTGGAGCAAAGGTCCTGATATTGTAAACGGACCCCTGGTGGGATGTGCTGTGGGGAACGTGGTCTCCCTGTGAGCTTTGTCTGTTGCGTCCCCTATGAGGTGGAACTCCTCCTTGCGTTGTGCCACTGCCCCCACTGAGTCTGTGCCACCCCAGGGAGCTGTGGCATGAATGAGCAGGCTTCCTCTTCCACCTTCAAGTTTGGGTCATGTGAGCCAGCACGGCAGCGCTGTGGTAGAAGCTGTTCATCCTTGGCTGAAGCTCGTTCAGGTTGTGGTTTCAGAGGCTGATGGTGCAGAGGGTCCGTCTGTGCTGCTGCTCCATTTGTGGGTCAGCACCTGGGAGGAGGTAAGAGGGGATTCTCCCTCCCCTCTCTGCTCCCACATTGCCAATGTTCCTCTCTGGCCCGCTGCTAATTTTGACGCTGCCCTAAATAGAAGCTGAGTGCATCTCATCTGCTTTGCTTAGCATACAGGAAAATTGTTTTCCTTCGTTTACTGACTCTGGCTCACAGCTTTAACCCTGTCAACACACAGCTCACCCCAGCACAGGGCTCCCTGGTAGCACTCTGCATGCCCAGGGAGCAGCCCTGTGCTGGGATCAGCACTGCACACCCTCACCAAAGGCCCTCTGCAGAGCTCTGCTGTGCAGCAGGGAGCACAGGACCTGGGCTCACCCTCCTGGCGCAGCACCCTGCCCATCTCCGGCATGGCACAGCAACTGGAGGCTGCTGTGAGTGCTAAATCTTCAGCAACACAACTTAAATATATCACTGTCTGGTGCAAGGTTCTTATTTGGGGCTCTCATGCAAGAACCATTTTCCTGAACTGTAATTTTGTGGCATTTGCAGCCTGGTGATGGCTGGAGCAAGCAGGGTGCTATGGCACGTTGGAAGGAAGTGGGGGCTGTGATGTGCAGAGGTTAAATTTAGCAGCTCAGGAAAGAGGGGTGCTCAGTGTGCCTGAGCCTGGCACATGGCAGCACCGCAGGGGGGCACCCCTTCCACTCCCCACCACTCTGTTCATGGCCTCTTCTCAGAGGTTGGTTTTCTTTGGATCATCCAGACCAATGGGTGGTGAGGAAAGGGGAAAAGGAGAGGCTGTTTCTGAGCTAGGAGCACAGAGTTTAAGAGGCAGTGACCCTGGGCAGGTGCAGCACATGGAGAAGGACGGGCATAGGAGTCCAGCTCTGGGCAGGGCAGGGTGGAAGCATTGCCAAGGCCACGCGGTGAGAGGCGGTTGGGGAGTGCTGATTGTTTTATTGTCTTTGCAGAAGATCAACCGGACCCCTTCGGATGAGGAATGCTTCTTTGACCTGCTGAGCAAGTTCCAGAGCAACCGGATGGACGATCAGCGCTGCCCACTGGAGGAATGCCCGTCAGAGGCTGCAGAGGCAGCAGCCACACCAGTCCCAGCCCTGGAAGAACGGATACGTAAGCATGGAGGTGTTGATAAGTCGCCATGGCTCCGGGTCGTGCTGCTCCCGTGGCATGGCTGGCTGTGTGGTGTTGCTGTGCGATGGACTGGGTGGGCTCTGGCAGGAGGGGAAGATGCTGCTGGGTGTTCTGAGCGTGAGCACAGTGGAAAAAGTTCTGGGTTTTGTACAGCTGTTGGATGCTGCGATGATAGGTGTTGCGTAAGGATGGAGAAGGGCAGCAGGATGGATAAACAAGAGGAAGCTCTGGGTGCGCAGGCAGTGAGCTTTGCTTGTAGGAAGAACACAGATAAATGGAGGAAACCATCTGACAAATAGGATGGGAAAGGCAGGCAGGGCTGTGTTTGTGCTCTGGGTTTGTGTCTTTTTTATGACAGAGCGGTGAGGTGCTTTGATTAAAGCTAACAGGGTGTGCAGGTCCCTCTGTTGCTCACAGGGATGCGGGTCGTTCCCAGGTGAGCAGTTTCTTCTGTGCTAAAAATAAGGTGGAAGCAAACATCACTTTTTCAAGATGTGTTTCTGATGCAGAAGTGCATTTGGCTGGAACAGCTGTGTTCCTTGTGAGTATGAAGCTTTATTAAGAGCGTTCAAGTAGGCATACTTTCTGTTCATCCATCACTTGGTCTCTGAGCTTTTTGGACACGTTGCTTGAAGTTTCTTTGCGAGCTGAAGGGCGTCAGTGCTGCAGTTACTGTGCATTCCTACAACTCCAAGAGCTGGGGCCGTTGGAGCAGCAGTGTCAGGATCTTGGGACAACCTCAAGTGCTTTGTGCTCCCGGAGGCAATGCCTACCAGGCTGGATTTCTTACAGCTTCATTTGCTTGTACCCATCCTAAGTGCAGTTCCTGTTCTGTGAGTGTTTTGCTGCCCAGCAGCTGCGAGGAGCCAGCAGAACTCATGCACTGTGTGCTGCCCTGGTTGGGGGCATTGCTCTGCTGTGTGGTTTAGCCAGGCCTTGACTTTGCACATTACCTGCCTGCAGTTACACCCTTGGGACCTCTGCAGTGCCCAGTAAGGAACCACCCAGTAAGCAGTGCACAGGAACTGTACAGTCACTTGCAACTGCTGGTGTCTGCACCATGGTGGAAATCAAAGTGGCAGCAGCATCCTGCCAAAATCTGTGCCTTACCCTACATGCTAGGCAATGCAGCAGATGCAGATTGCAGGTTTTTGGGAGGTGGCTGCCATGTACCTGCAGGTAGGGCTGTGCCCCACCATTGGTATCCAGAAAGGGTGTGAGTGGTTGCACGACTGGGCCGTGGGCTTTGATCCCTGCTTTGATGGTAGGTTTTTGCTTGCTTGCCTTGTTGGCAGTGGGATTGTTCCTGCTTACCACGCAGGGTGGAAGGGAATGGCGCTGGTCACAGAAGCTGGTGTCCTACCCAGCTCAGCCCTGGGAGGCTTCTTAAACAGGGGCTTAAGTCAGTTGGTTGAACAGCGTTTTGGTGAGAACTGGGCCTCTGTGGTAAGCAGAGATGTGACCCTGGTGTGCTCCTCTCCCCCTCCCAGCACACTCCTCCCTGATGGCATCCCCGCAGACAGAGGAGTTCTTCGATCTCATTGCCAGCTCGCAGAGCAGACGGCTGGATGACCAGCGTGCCAACGTGGGCAACCTGCCAGGCCTCCGGATAACACACAACAACCTGGGGCACCTGTGCATGGAGGGGGACGCCCAGGAGCCAGGGGATGAGTTCTTCAACATGCTGATGAAGTGTCAGGTACAGCAGGGCTGAGCAGGAGGGAGGGGTGGGCTACTTTCTTCACCATCAACAAGCAGTGCCCCCCCTGCTCTCACCAGGCTGGCTGGGGGCTGTGGGCAGCAGGTGCCCACCTGCAGGCTGTCAGCATGCAGCCCTAACCCCTGCTCTTCCCCTGTAGTCCTCTAGGATAGATGACCAGCGCTGTGCACCACCAGACTCCATCCCCCGTGGTCCCACGATGCCAGATGAGGATTTCTTCAGCCTCATCCAGCGGGTCCAGGCCAAACGCATGGATGAGCAGAGGGTAGATCTGGCCTCAGCACAAGAGGAGGCAGAAGAGGAGCAGCAAAGGCCTGGTTCCAGCTAAGAACTGGGGTTAAGTCTGAGGGGTTTGTTTTAGTTTCATTTGTTTGGGTTTTTTTTGTTTGTTTTTGTTTTGTTTTTCAAAAAGAACTTAAGTGTAGGTGGTTTCAAACCAGAGTGCTCCTGCACCACCAGACTTCTTCCAGGATCTGCACCTCAACTGCACTGCACTTGTTCACAGGAAGGGACTGTTTTGAAACAAGGGTTTTTTTAGGAGATGTGGCTTCTGTAACAATGGGCACAGCTCAAGGGAAGAAGACCTTGGCAGCCCCTCTGCTTGTCACCTAAAGCTCCAGGAACTCACACTGGCAGCTGAAGGAGGAGCAGGTACTGAAATGCAGTCTTGATCTTCTTTATTTCTAAAATACTTTTAATAGGGGAAGGGAAGAGCACCTTTTCCATTTTGCAGTCACATCTGCGTCATGAGACGACACAAGTTGTTCTGGATCCTTTCCTGGAACATCTTCATCAGTTTTGTTCTTTCTGCAGAAGGAAATGGGCCCAAATCAGAAGCTGCAAAGGACCTTTTAAAGCTCACCCCACCCCTGGCTGCAGCTACGGTCCCCCATGCTTTGAAGTTTGTTCTGGGGTTGCAATGAACCTCTGCAGTGAGAGCTGTATGCTGTCCCCTCTGCTTCCTCAGCTGCTCCTGTACAGATTTGTGCCAGAAGCTCCAAAGCAGGAGCTGGGGCTCTCCCACTTTTACCTTTAGTGGGATCTGGAGACCTCCAGAGAACAAGCATGGGACAAAGCCTGAAAGGTAAGTGCCAGCTATGCAGCCTGCATTGCAGCCACAAGACCAGAGCTGGTACTTTGGAAAGAAGGAAGAAAGTCTTCTGCCCATTTATTCAGCACAGAAATCAAACTTAGCTGAACTCGTTGTTTCTGGTGCAGCTGAGCCACAAGCCTCACATGGGACTGTCCAGTGTGCCTAAGGCAGAAACCTGCATCTGGCACTCACCTGCTTTGTAAGCCAGCAATGTTTTCTGGCCGTGGCTTGTCAGGAGAGCAAGCAGAACTACCCCCTGCAGCTGGCAGTGGAGGACAATAGCACTCCCCTCGTTTCTCCTGAAAGAAACCAGTGCTGTGCTGCTCTGTGCCCCAGCAGACCTGCTCTCAGCAAGGCAGCCCTTATTCTGCACACTGTCTCGTCTCACACTAGCAAGAAATGGAGCCTTGGTGACAGCTTCAGGTTGAGATTGTTACTGGGAAGTCAGTTTCACCCTGTATGCAAATGCAAGGGTCTACATTTACTTTCATCCCTTTTGGTAAAGTTGGAAATGCAAGCCCAGAGAAGAAGGGCAGCAGAGATGGAACTTCAGGAGGTGGAATGCTTGACCAGAGAGGCTATCCTGGACTTGAGAATGAGTTCTGCCAAAGCAGCTGTTTCCTATAGGGAACAAATCAGCACTTTCTAATCAAAATGCATTTGACAGAGACATTTCCTACCAGCAGTAAGATTTTCAGACCAGTGATGCTGCTCACCAGGCATTTAACCTGCCTATACTGACCATGGGAGGGGTGGCTGCATTTCAGCTGCTGCCAGGGAGCACTCACCTGCTGCCCAGAGTGCTGGGCTGAGCCTCTGCCTCCTTCCTGGGACAGGTCAGACAGCTGAGATCAGGCAGGAGAATGTGCACAGCCACGTATATACCTACCTAGCTTGTACCTGTAAAGAGGACAACATTGGAGATGAGGACAACTTGACCAGCTCCAGGCTTGGCCCTGTGCAGCTCTCAGCCAGGTGGTGAACTGGAATCTGACCATTAAGCTTTCAGAGGTGTTAATTATTTGCCATATACTTGAATGTATGAGCTTATTTATTTTTTACATGTGCATTTGCTAATGTCATTTTAATGGGGGATTTCCAACCCACAGGTACTTTTTTCTAAAAAAAAAAAAAAAAAATAATCTGCCAAATGAATTAATATATTAGAAACAAATGCAGCTCATGGGTAAGGGAGGATTGTGCTTAATAAATATTTGTGTCTAAGCTTCAGTGGCAAAAACTCATTTTCCTTATTTTTTGGCCACCTTTCCTGCTTTGCTGGCAGCAGAGCTGATGGTGGCTTTTGGGGATGGGAGAGGGGGTACAGGGTGTGTTCTTGGGGCAGCTGTTACCACATGTATGTGTTAAGAAAAGGGTGTACATGTGCACATCCCTATCCCTTTACCTTACCTGCACACAGCTCTGTCTGCCTTAACTCCCTTCAGCTGCTGTAGAGAAAGTTCCAAAGCCCTGAGCACTCCCTACCCCTGAACACACATCCAAAGCAGCCTGTGACTGTCAAGGCTTTGCTTCTCCCAGTGAGCTCAAGCCCTCCTATAGGTATAGGGATGAACCCTTCCTCTCAGGCTAGGTCCTTTGGTACCTGCCTCAAAAAACAGATCTTGTTTCCCTGGTGGCAGCTGGAAGAAAAGGGCAGGAATTTCTGCTCAATGCCCTACCATAAGCCCTTAGTGAAGATACTCAAAAAGCAGCAGGCAGCAGTGCAAGCTCATTCCAACACAGCAGGAGTGAGCAGGCCATTAGACTTTGCTAGAGAGGGAGCCAGAGAGCAGCAGATTTTGGATCCTGAGGCTTGTGAGAATAAAGCCAAGTCCCAGTTGGTCTTCCTATGCCTGGTTACCTTGTGTAGGCTACTGCCAGTCCCAGTCAAAGCTAAACAAAGAGCCACCAGCTTGCTCTCATCAGGCATTCTTAAGCTTCTCCCTACCCAGACACATGAAACTCTGTACTGCCAAAGGCTTTGTGTGTGACTTAAGGACGGAACTGTGCCCCCAGCTATGCGAAATTTTGAGATTTAGATTCTCAGGAATCTAAACAGGTGATGATTCCTGTAACTAAGTGATGAGAGCCTATCTCACCTGCTGTCTCACTGTCCTGAGCGGCTGTAGAAGGGACTACGTGTTCTCCTGTAAAAGAGAACAACACAGCATCCTCCAATAGCAGTCACAGCGTGCAGAGAACAAGAGCAGCTCGGTTTTGTGAAGGGAGCAGCTCACTGCTGGCACCCATAGGAGAAAGGAGGGATTGCTGGGGCTAACTTGGCCTTGGATTGCAAAGGGCAGCTGCTGCAGCAGCTGTGAAATACAGAGCAGGGTGCTGGCCCCAGTGCAGGGCTGTCATGGGGAGGAAATCTATAAAAAACATCAGAAACACAAAATACTGCTCCTTCCTACCTTGCTTTCTGAGTGTCCTGAGAGACACTTGAGAGCTTGTGCTGACTGTGTGCCTAGTGGGAGTTTGTGCATTGCAAACTCATCTGCCAAGTCACATCAGGTCTGAGTCTCAGCACTTACCTCAACCCTCTCCTGAGCCTCGTGCTGCTCCTGTCCCAGCCATGATCTCCAGCAGGCTGGAAGGGCACGCAGCCCACGGGGAGGGATCTGCTGGCTCTTAGCAGCCCAGCACTGTGAATTCCAGTCTGGAGCCAGACAGCTTCCAGAGGCTCTCCACAGCAATCTCCCCAGCTGCTGAAAGGCCAGGACACAGTGAGGGTTAACTCCTGCATGGTTTTGCAGCAACAAGCTCAATATCTGTAGCACTGAAGATCACAGCCCAGGGACATGCACAGAGGTATCGGCCACACACCTGCAGGGGCTGGGCAGGGGGCTCTCACCTTGCTCCACCTCTCTGCCCCCACTGCAGCAGGGCTGCATTACGTGAGACCCCATGGAAGCAGCACACTTCACAGCTCCCCAGCTCCCTTGCACACACACTCACTGCCTCTCCCCATAGGGCTCCCATTTCTATGCACTCTACCAAACGCTCCTGCACCACTGCTGGACTGACCATAAGAACACCAGCATCTGCTGCAGCCAACAGCTGCAACCCCTCAGTGTCCCCCAGCAGCTGGATGAACTCTGGAATTTGAATGTAATAAAGCAGGAGAGGCAGAAAGCCAGAGGCAAAGTATTTCCTATTTCACAGCAAAGCTCTTGCAGGATAGGATGGAAGAAAAGAATGCAGCTCTCATCAGCCGCAGTGAAATGCTTCAAGGAACACAGCAAAGGTTTATGGCAGCAGTGCATCCTGTGAATGCTGCTCTGTCTGCCTCAAAATCACTCCTCTGTGCCTCAGGCACCCATCAGTGCACCGTCACTCACCCTGCTCTGCTGCTCCAGGCTTGGGCACCACTGGTCCCCATCACACCGCAGCTCCAGCAGGCTTTTTCCCTTCTTCCAGAAAGATACACCTCCCCTTTTTCAGAAAGAAAAAAAAGAGATTAAAAAACCCCAAACTTCTTCAAAATAAAGCACGACATTCTTTTAAATGTAAGCCATTAGCAACAAACCCTCCTGTTTTGTTATCAAAACCCACCAGAGATGTTCAACCCTCTCCCCTTCCAGCTGAAGGTCCCAGAATGTCTTTAAAAGCACCAGCTTCCTTCCCTGTTGCACAGCACAGTCTGTATTTGGTTCTGAGGAGTCCCATGGGCTGCACCCTGCCTGCTGCAGCTGTTTCACAGCACTCTGAGCTTCCTGTGTCCTATTCCAGGACTCTGCCCTATAGAATCACCCTCTCTGTGCAGCCTGCTGCTTCGTGCCCAAGCTGCTGGCCTAAGCCTTCAGAGCTGCATCCAGCAGCAGGACCAGCAGTAAAGCAGCCTCTCCCCATCCTCAGAACTCACAGACAGGTGCCCATGGGTGACCAGCACCGAGCTCCAGAGACCAGAAATACTGCAAAGACATTTAGCTACAATTCCTACTGTGAGAGCAGAAGCTAGAACAGTCTGTGTGTAGCCAGGGGCACAGAAAGGTAAGGAAAACACTATTACAAAAGTTAGGTTATAAATGAACTGTTTCCAAGACAAAGCAGATCCTGTAACAGCAGCTCCATTCCACCCCATCAAAGCCATGTGAGCAACGGCAGCACAGCACTGTTTTCAGGTACAGCACCAGAACCACTTTTCCAGCAGAGCTAACAGGAGCCAGCAGCTCACAACAGGGTGAGCACACTGCAGCGTTCCACTCCTATTTCTTCATAAATACATGGATTGCTCCCTCTAATTGGCTCAGAGAGAACCGTGTTTCATGAGGATGTGAACACACACAAAACCCAGCTGATGGATGCCCTTCAAAGCTGTCTCCTCACCCTGAGCTTAGCTATCACCAGAGAAATGTGATTGTTTCCTTGTCACTCTGACCCATACTAATAATGCAACATATGTAGAACACTTCAGATGAATGAGCTACACTCGTTAATGCATGCAATGCACTCACTGACTACTTGAATGATGAATCCATGAGCAGCACGCTTGACTGAAAGAACTGGGTTTGTTCAGCTTTGGAAAGGGATTTTTATTGCTCTTTAATGGAAGAGTGATAATAGAGAAGGCTGTCTTCATAAATCCAGTTTTTAGAAAGAAGGTAATGTGCACAGGATGAAACATGGGAAATTTCTGTTAGGTACTGGGACTTATTTTATTCTTATATCATAGGATAGGTCAAATACCAGACCTAAAGAGGCTATGGGGCTTCCATCCTCAGAGAAACTCGAGCCAAGACCCTGAATGTCCTTACCAAATTGAACCTCCTTTAAGCATGGTGGTAGTGCTTCTCCAACCTCAATTACTCTCTGATACCGAGTTTAAAAACACAAGAAAGCAGATACTTTGTTGTACTAAGAAGTTAACAAATCTCAAACCCATAAAAATTATGCAAGCAAAAGGAGCCCAAAGAAACTGCAGTATGATCACCTTACTGCCTGATTCATCACTACCAGCACAGAGCACTCGGGTAAACACCTACATTTTTCATTTATGAAGTTATTATTTTCTCTTCTAGCTGATCTTAACATGCAGCAGTGGCATTAATAAGCACCTCAATGTCTGTCAAATAAGACACATTTCTAGGTGCTCCACTTATCTCCAACGTGCTTTACAAATGCTAATTGTTCCTTCACGCCCATCCTCCCCCTCACCAGTAAGGAAGTTGCATAACCCCAACCACAGGGCTGCTCACTGCATCACCACCCCACGAGGAATTTCCGAGCAGGGGCAGCCATAGGGCAGAGCAGAAGTGGTGTAAGCCCAAATAAAGACCTTCAACCCCACGATATGTGGGGCACAGAACCTTAACTCTGGAAGATATCACAGGAAAGAAAAAGGCAGCACTGAAGTGAGTGCAGTATGAGCAGTCCAATGCTCCTGCAGGCTCACTGGGCTTTGCAAACTCACCTGTGGTCAGGGCCATGTCCTCAGGTGGTCCCAATTGCCTCTTCTGCTCAGCTGCCATGTGATGCAGCTCCAGGAGCACTGCAATCAGCTGCTGCTGTGCAACACCTGGACAAGGCCAGAGGACACTGCTAGAACCTCCAGTTAGTGCTACACCTGCTTGAGCCAAAGCACACGGTCAGAAATTATTTGCTCCATTCTCACCTGAGAACAAAGCAAGCTTCCCAACACCTCTGAAGCACCTACAACTGCTTTAAGAACAGCAAAAGTGACAGGAAAAATGTCCAGAGCCCAACTCTGTCATTATTAGCTTGGGCAAAGGCAAAACTACACCAACCAAAAACACGACAGAAAGAGGAGACACATTTATTCTAAGCACAGTCCACTGAAATCAAGGAGGAAACATGAAAGTCTCTCTTGCCATCAGCAGAATGGCACCAATCCCACTTGTCACGTCCGTTCCTTGCCATCAGTCTCTGGGAGGGGGTCCCCACTTTCTCCCTCTGTAGGACGGCTCTGAGGGCCAGCATCTGCCACGTCTTCTGGAAGCAGCTCCAGGGCTTCCTCAGCAAGCACACGTCTCACCTTCTCCCCTTTGGCTGCCAGGATCTCCTCGATATTCCTTAACAGCAATGTGAGAGCCAACAGTGATGCTACAGCAAAGGCCAGAGGGAAGAGCCTGGTGCAGGGCTTTGCTTTCGGTCATTAACATCACACAGTGAGCTGACACACGAGTACCGACAAGAAATCCTTCTGTAAGCCGTCTGGGAAGCAGACAGAACTATCCAAACCTCCTAGGGCTGTTCTTACCCCTTAGGATCAATAATTCAGCAATTACTGCAAACCTCGTTTTTAAAGGGAGTGAGAAATCAACGGGGTTCAACAGCATGAGCGAGTTGACAGCATCTCTGAGATGCTCACAGGTGGGGGAACCCAGCAGCGACTGAACGGAGCCTGAGGGAGCACCGAGCAGCACACGCAGCGGTGCGCGCGATGCCCGCATCCCAGCCCGCTCCGCGGCGCGATGCCGTGAGGAGCCGCGTGGCACGCAGCCCCGCCCCGCCCCGCCCCGCCCGCACCTCTTGCCCTGCAGGTCGGAGAACCAGCCCAGGTTGTCGGCGATCACGTGATGGCTGTGGCATCCGGGACACGTGACGATGACGACGCCGCGGCTGTAGGCCAGGCGGGAAATGTTCTGCGCCGAGCGGCGCCGACAAACCTGCGAAGCGCAGAGCGGCGGCTCCCGTCAGCAGCGCGGCACCGATCCGCGGGGCCGCTCCCCCTCCCCCCCGCCGCCCCAACCCCGCACCTTGCAGGTGTACACCAGGCGGTAGTGCGATGCCTGCAGCCGCCCCACGCTGTCCGGCGGCGCGGTGCACGCATAGCGCGGTGCCGGACGGTGCCGTGGAGGCGCTGAGGCGCTGAGCGCGGCGCGAGCAGCCGCCCGCAAAAAGCGGCGCAACATGGCGGCCGCGCAGGCGCAGAAGGGGCGGCGCTGAGGCGGCGCGGTCGCTCCTACAGAGACCGCCTTCTGCGTCCGTACGTTAACGGCAGTGCTTTAAACACAGAATCACAGGGTCCTCAAGGATCATGAATCTCCACTCCTCACGCTTAATATTAGACCAGGCTGCCCAGTTCCCCATCCAAACTGGCCCTGAACACCTCCACGGATGGACGGGGCATCCACAGCCTCTTTGGGCAGCTGTTCCAGCACTCTCAGAGCAAAGAACTTCCCCAACATCCAACCTCAATCTGACCACCCTCAACTCAAAGCCGTTTCTCCTTGTCCTGCTGTTACCTACCTTACCAAAGAGCTCATTCCCCCCCCCCCCCCCCCGTTGTAGGCTCCCTTTAGCTACTGAAGGCTGCCATGAGGTCACCCCGCAGCCTTCTTTTCTCCAGGTTGAACAAGCCCAGCTCCTCAGCCTGGCTTCCTAGGTGAGGTGCTGCAGCTCCCTCATCATCTTTGTGGTCCTCCACACCTGGACTCTGTACACCCAAGAGCAGAGAGGGACAACCACCTCCCTGCTCCTGCTGCCACCCCTCTTCTGATGGAGCCCAGGACACCATTTGCCTTCTGAGCTACAAGCACACACTGCTGGCTCATGTTCAGCTTCTCATCCATCAGGACCAGCAGGTCCTTCTCCACAGGGCTGCTCTCAAGGACCGCTCCTTCAAGTCTCTATGGGTGCCTGGGATTCCTCCGGCCCAAGTGCAAAACTTTGCACTTTGCTGTGTTGAACCTCATCAGGTTCACCCAGGTCCACCTTTCAGGGCTCTTGAGGTCTCTGCGAATGGCATCCCTTCCTTCTACCATGTGAACCACACCACTCAGCGTGGTGGCATCAGCCAACTCACTGAGGGTGCACTCAATTCTGTCATTGATGTCACGTTAAAGAGCATCAGTTCCAAGACATAGCCCTGAGGGACGCCGCTCGTTACCAGCCTCCCATCTGGACATAGAACCATTAATCACCAAACACCGTGCTGTTTATTGAGGGATCCAAAACGCTGTCCAGATGCAAACCAGAGCCTCGGCCGGCCCCTAGCTGCCCTCAGTGTCCGTGTTGTCACTGCCTGTGCTGGGCTCCCAGTCGGCCTCATGGCGGCTACCAGGCACCCTGCGCAGGGCACGCTTCCTGGAAATGGGACTGTGTGAAACTGAGCCTTGAGGGAACCGAGCTTGGGAGGGGAGAGTGTGGGATGGGGTGGGATGGGGCGGGATGGGGCCCGACCTGCGGTACCGCTCAAAGCAGTCCTTCATCCTCCTCCGCTCCTTCTCCGACAGCTCCTCGTGGGCTGAGCTGCACTCCTCAAACTGGAAAAAAAAGGCAAAGAGATGAACGAGGTCGTGCTGAAGCTTGGATCGATATTTTTATCACGTTGGGCACAGCTGCTGCGTAAAGATGACCCCTTTTAAGGCTGAGGTGGCTCTACCTGCTGAGCCCCTCTTGGATTTGTTTGCGCCCCGAATCATTTCACTTGGAAAAGAAGGGGAGAAAATGGAAACTTGTGCCTTAAAATGACAAAGAAGAGCTGGTTGCTACCACAGCCTGTTGTTTGGGAAGTACTCCGGTGTGTAGAGCCAGCTTTTCTATCTGCTTGGGCCTGCAGTGCAGCACGCTCATTCCTGGGCTGTCTGCTCTTGTGTCCAGGATGCAAACACAGTTTTACCATGCTTACTATTCTCTTTCAGTTGCAAATTTGAAATTCTGTTTCCTGTATCAACAGTGGTACTTGCAGACAAACTGAAAAATGTCCACATGCAGAGAAAAAGGCCAGAAATAATTAGAAGTTTGTAAGCAAAGTTGAGAAATACCCAGCAGATGAGTGCTCAGCTGTTCAGAGTTCACCCTTTTGCACAAAATGCTTTCCGGAAAAGCAGCAGCTGCCTCCGTGTCCCTCATTCCTGGTAAATCCATCATCAACAAGAACATGAAAAGTTACAGACCCCAGTCTGACTAAAGAGAATCGCTGTGGGCTCTTACAGAGGGTGATTCTGCAGGCAGATTGCTTTCTCGAATGCTGAATTGCTGGTTTTGTTCTTCACAGCAGTCTTCTAAAGGAGAATAAAAAAGCAAATCACAGTTTCAATCACAGTTGCCATGTTGAAGTAATTTCTCCTTCCACCAGCTCACCAAACAGCAATAGCTGTACAGTGTAAGAGCTGCCCAACAGTACACAGCACCAACAGCAAGCTGAACCCAGGCCTCAAAACATTCAGTATTCAATCTCGTGATCACTGCACAAGACCCAGCTCATTTTACTTGACCTCTGAGTCTTGCTTAGGGTGACGGAATTCCCCACAGGATCACCAGAGACACCATCTGTCTAATTTCTGCTTGTGGAGGAGCAAAATGAACCAGTGCAGAGCAGCACCTCTGTCTAACATCACTAAAAGAATAATAATGGACAGAACAATAAAAAAAAAAAAAAGCCACACTAAACATTAATCACAATTTGTCCCTGCTCCCCAGCAGCTAAGATGTGCATATCAAGATACTCAACAGGTCGTATTTTAGCAAAACTCCTAATGCAGTGATCAGACAACGTGGTATGCAATTTTGATTTGAGTGAAGTAGAGCAAGAAAAGGCTTTCTGTTTCAATGTGGTAGCTCCTGTGAAAAATCTGCCATCTCAATGAATGATCATTTAAATCTTTCAGGAGAGGACCTTCCTTTCCTTCATTTTGCAACGTTTCAAAAGCAAATGTCAAGTTTTAAAGGACCCTGTTTATTCTTGTCTGCACTGCTGAATCGTTTCCATTGGGGCTGCAGAACCAGTGACAGTATTAATTATGTGGTTCTGCTTTTGTGAAAATAGCCTGCAGAGTAAAAGAGAGGAAATAAATGTCTCTGCAGAAGGACACACGGTTCAGCTGGAGTGGAAGGAGGCTTGTTCCATTCTCAGCTCAGCCACAAACACAACAGGAGCTGTTTCTTAAAGGCATTGTGTACCCGGGTGATTTTTGCCAGACAAATTCAGAAGGCAGATGACTGAAAAAAGTCATCTTTTGAGCACAAAGCAAATAGCACATGGAGATTTTTCCCTCCAGAAAGCTGTACAAGCATTCACTGTTCCCAGATGCCGGGAACACGATCTCCTTTTTTGTAGGTGAGAAGGGTAGCAGAATGCCTCGGGGTTGCAGAAGCCTAGATTTACATGCACCTATTCTGAGTCATCTCAAGGAGGTGCCAAGCATCCCCCGCTGAGCAGCATCACTCACAAACTGAGTCCTCATCACTCAGGGTACCTCTTCTGCACTAACATAAAAAGCACACCTATTCCTGTCCCTCTGGGCAACCCCATCAAGAGCTGTACTGGATGTTCTCCCCAACAAAAGCCTTACTTTTAGGCAGGTGCGTATCTTCATCTAGACGACCATGAAGAGTGAGCTATTGGGACACAAACAGATCAAGATGATGAGAAGCACTCCTTATTCTTTCTCAGACAGTAGCTAGGAACAAATGCAGGAAGGTACATAACCAACCTTTCCCCACTGTATCTTGCTGTAAGCAAAATAGGAAACATTCTGAACTTGAAGCTGCACATCCACACACAGACTTATCCTCCGTGACTACAGCCTCAAACATTTTGTCTCTAGACAACGTGCCAACCTCTACCACAATTAAGTTATGAACTAAGTTAGAAAAAAAACCCACCCTTTACTACACAGGATAATACTCATTTTTGCCTGTTCTCTCAGGGAGACATTAGAAGCAGCACAAAATGATTTGAATCTTCTGGTCTGCTTGGACTCAATAAATCTTATCACAGGTGTATCCCCAGGTGCTTAGAAGTCTCAGGACAAAAGAAGAAGCTGCCTTTAGCCATTAGCCTGCTTTGCTACCTTTGGACTTGATGCCACTGCCATAAGCCTGACCCACAGAGAGCAGAGTGTTGTTACTTTGGGCATAAGACAACTGAGGAATTGCAAACCATCCCAGGAGAAAATAACATGTAAACAAGGCACCCTACTCACATCCTGGGAATCTCTGGAGGAGGTGTCATCCAGGTCAGAAGTCTGAAATAAAACCATTAAGTTCATCATTCCTCATGAGCAAGTAAGTGACAGTATTGGAATATACAGGAGACCAGAAGATCCAGAAAATGGAAACGTGGACTTCCTTCCTCCTACACTCATCTGACCATTTGGAGAAAGTACATAAGATGCCACACTAAGTAAAAGTCCTCAGACGTCTAATTTAATTTCATGAACTCTCATACCCTGCTCCTGTTTCACCCAAACGGCTTGTGCAGGCTCTGGAGTTCACTTGTGAGTAGCTGACAATGCCAACAACCTCCAGAAGCACTCCAAACATGTAAGGCTTCAGCAAACCAGGGTGAGCTCATAAAAACCACTGTGTCTTCCTTTTTTCTAAACAGTATGTGCACAGGAATGGTTACCCAAGCAGGTGGCCACTGCTTGCTGAAATCGGACTGGTTAGGTCTCAAGGTCTCAAAACAGTTTTAGTTGGGTCCTAGACTCAACTTTTCAACTCATCATACACATGACAACCCCCACAGGCATACATACCAGTGCAGGTAGCTCCAGTTGCAGCCTTTTCAGCTTGGCTTCAGTAGCCAGTAGCTGACTCTCCTTTTGGAAGAGCTGCAGCTGCAGCTCATCGCATCGCTCCCCCAGCTCCCGAATCTGCTTCCGATAGGTGTCCCTCTCCATCAGGTTCTTGGAGTACTGTGCGTAGAACTGTTCTCTGGTCAGCAGTGCCTGGTGTAAGAGGCAACACCACACAACACCACATTCAGGGTTATGATATCTGCCTGCTTCAAGCAGCAAGCCAGGGATTAGCAGCAGCTTCTAGAGGAACGTTTTATCACCTGGTCTCTTTCTGAGGCCACTTCCTCCATCTGCTGTAAGACAGCTTCCATCCGTCTTTTATACATCTGGGAGTCCTTCCTCAGAGACGTGCACTGTAGTTCAAGTATCTCTTTTTCCTCTGCACACTGTTGAGACATGGCTTGTGGGATTCTAAGCTAGAATCTCACCACTTCTGCTCTATACCACAGATTGCTACAGCCAGACTTCCCTGCAACACGAAACTCAGACTGCCCTTTTGGAGCAAAGCCAACCAGAAGACCAGGCAGTATGACTAAAAAGCCTACTGACACATCACATTTACGTGTACCTGAGCTGCCAATCATGATAAAAGCTCCCATCACCCTGCAGCCTTTATCTGCCCATCTCACCCCGCTGACCCCCAGCAGGGATTCATACTGCACCACACACTTTGTCTCGGAGCACCTCGGCTTGGCGCAGCTCCTTGCGAAGGTGGTAAATGGTGTTCAGCAGGTCCCGGCGCTCTGGTATCTGGCTGGCTGTATCCTTCTGCACAGTCTCACAAGAGAGACTCTTCTCCAAATTCTGTTCCCTGGCAACCTGCTGGACAAAGAAGAACGTGAGATACAGCAGCTATCTAACTCCAAAGTCCAATGTGCTCTCTGTACGACTTGGGAGAACAAGCCCATAGCCAACCCACCAAATATTCAGCACAGCCCCATTGCAGCGCTGGCTGCAAAAAAATAATTAATCATTTCTGAAGATTCCTCACCCAGTCACCTCACCAACCTGGAGAGTGTTCTCCAGCTCCTGATTCTTGGCCAAAAGCAACTCCTTCTCCTGCTGGATCTCCCACATCACTTCATGGCTCGGACGTTGCTCTATGGCATGCTTCAGTTTCATCGAGTGCTTACGCTCTAGTTTGCAGTCATCCTCAGCCTTCATGAGGCTATGCCTCAAGCTATCAATCTACAAGGCGGTTCAGAGCTCATCAGTAACAGACACAAAAGTCTGGTTGCAAAAGCAGTTCTCTCGTGGCAGAGTTCCCCATTCCTCAGACAAGCACAGTGCAAGCTTTTCCCCAATTCTATCTTCCTCAGGAAGCTTGGTGTTCTGGGGAGCTGAGACTTGCCTTTGTGCTAAATGGGTACAAGATGCTGGTTCTACACTGCCCCTGTGAGAGGGTCCAGTCTCAAATGAGGGGAAGACTTAACTCTTCAGAGCACAGCTTGTAATACACAGGCCTACAGGGCTGAGCCAGGGACCACTACGACATACCACCTGCCAAGGAATATGCACAAAACCTCGTAACAGACTAGGCCACACCAGCCCAGACGCATCTGACACACAGCTCAGCCCCTCAGGGATCAAGTAAAGAAGGAAGCTTAGGAACGGGGTCACTCACCTCTAGCAGCAGGTCCCTGTTCTTCATGAGGGCGCTGCTCTTCTCCTCGCTCTGTCTGGCGTAGCTCATTGCCAGGCTGTAGTTCTCATCCTTGCACTTCCGCAGCTCCCTGCTCAGACTGTCCCTCTCCTCCTTCATCTTCTGCACCCGCTCTTGGTGCTTGCGGAGCAGGCTGTCCCTCACCCACATCTCTCTGATCATGTTCTCTTTGGTGTGCAGCCACACGGTGAGCTCCTGGGCCTTCTGCCGCTCCTCCTGCACCGTTCTCTGCAGCTTTGTAATCTCATTCATCAGGAGCTGGCTCAGGCCAGATTCCCCAGCTGTGTCTGTTGGGTGGACAAGTATCAGTGAACTGCTGTCCTGTCTGCTCCCACAAACACACACACACACACACACACACACACACACACACACACACACCAGATTTCCACCCACGTATCACTAAAAAGTTTCATTTCAGAACTCAAACATTACCTATAATCAGAGAGAAAACCCTGCTTGGCTCCTTCCCAGTTATTTTCTTATACAGCTGTGGATAATAAAGCTCGAGGCTCTCCATGAAAGCCTCAAAGCCCTTGCGCCCTGTTTGCTGAAGAATGTCCAAAAGAACACCTGAAACAACAGCAACAGTTCCATTAATTTATTCCTCTCTTTACCCATTCCTAACAGAGCAAAGAATTGCCCCAATCTCCCCAAACAGTGTTTCTGTGGTCTGAGCTGGAAGAGCCAAGGCTGCGTTTCACCCACCTGCTTTGCGTTTGCGCATGACCAGGCTGGGGTCATTGAGAACCTGTTCCTCATCATCATGGTTTATCACCTGGCACTGGCGAAGATAAGGTGTTATACGGGAAGGATCTATCACAGAGATCAGCTTCACCCGAAAGTTTTCCAGGCTATTCCAACATGTCTCATCGTTATCTTCTTCCAGCATGGCGGTGAGCGAGAAGTGGCAGCGAGCTGCTTCGTCCTTCCTTAAAAAATGAAGACAGGAAACAAGAAAAAAAAGCAGACTCTAAGCCTTGGGGGAAAGTGTGGGTGGTGGTGTTGAAATCAAGTACACAGTCTTGAATTTAATTCCATGAGTTCTGCTGCCTCTTGGCCACCTCACAGATCTCATCTGTACAGCCTCAGCACAGCTTCAGCTACTGCTCCTCCACAGGTAGGAAACAGGTAAAAAAAAACCCAACATTTCTGTGTCTAGACTTCTATCTAAAATCAGTTTTATCAATTCAAATAAGAAACTGGCATTATTTGTACCTCTTTGCCCCTATGAGGTAAGACAATTCCACACTGAGCACCTCCTGAAATCCTGCTCATTAGATACTATGCTCACGTCACAGTGGCTGCAGTAGCTGTGTCATTTCCAGCATCTGCCAGCAACCTCAGCATTCATGTTTTCAGCTGGTTTGTAGGACTGGGAGCAGAAGGGGAAGAGTTCTGACTACGCAGGGGCTGAGATTGCACACAGATCTTACTGCACCTCTCCAAGCACTCATTTCTCTGCTCCTTCATGGAACAGGACTGACACAAGACTAACAGGTCAGTAATTATTATGGAGAAAAAAAAAACCAAAAAGCCCACCTCACTCTGCTTGACATCAAAGCAGCCCCAACAGATCATGAGCAGAAAAGCATTCCCCTGTTGAAGAGAAGCACACCCTCCCCTCAGAACTGTAACAACAAAAAGTCTGATCAAGATAAATCATTCTGCATTATAATGGACCAACCTGGGCCTCTGCAGACAACAGCCTTCACTGCTCTTCTCCTGGTCTGTCTGCTCTGTCTCTGCAGAAACCTGCCTGGGCTGCAGCTTTCCTTTATACAGGTCATTCCAGGAACCAATCTGTGAAAAAAGAGGAAACTACTCAGCTACCCTCTGAAATAAGAGAAAGAAGAAAAAAGGAAGTCAGAAGGGATGATGGGGGAGGAGGATGAAAGCTGATGACGCTGCAAATCACCAGCATTGCTTCTCTTACACTCACTGTGCCTTGGATGCCCAATCTGAAGTACACTTGGATGCCCACTGAAGTACAAGCTACAGTCAGGAAAGCTTCTTTGTGTAGACCAAGAGTGAGAAATAAAAAACCAAACAGGTACAGATCCATCCAGCTTACTTCAGAGCACAAAGCCAGCACAGATCACACGTACCACCAGCACCTGGCAGCAGCAGCCCTGCAGTGAATGGCACACAGAACAGTGGGCAGAGCTTCTGCTGCGTGCACTTCTTGGAAACGAGCATTAGCTGTAGCAGTTTGTGGAAGACAGAGCACACTGCAAGAGGAAAGCCATGTCAAGGTACTTCTTCCTGCCCCACTAATTGCTTAGTACCCAATTAGAGTGATTTTAATGTCCCACTGCCCCTCTTTTGCAGCTCTGCCTAAAGGGGCCTCACAGAATTGCACACTGAATGTACTGCTGTGACTTGGGGAGGCTGGGCAATGCAGTGGGGGTGAAGCTTCCTACAGCACCTTCCCACTGATTTTTACCAGCTTTGACTCAGCTAGCCCTACACCTCTCTGTAAGACAAACTGCTGTTTTGTGAATGAGGAAACGAGCTTTTATTGTGATTTGCTGATGGCTGTATGGGAAGGCTGTGGAAGAATTAGGGAAGAATCAAACCTGTTCAGTTCTGCCTTTGTAGCTGCCTGCATATTCATTCTCCACATTCTCTCTGGCTTGCTTTCATGTAGCCTGCAAGCTTCGTTTCTCTCATTAGCAATCACACTCATCCACATATTGCTACAAGCAGTATTTACCACAGAAACACAGAAGGCACAAATAAATGAGAAAAATAAACATCTGTATTTCAACCAGTACTCGAGACTCATTTGATAAAATATTAACCTGCTTCTTACTGAGCAGCATTCAGTCAGCTGTCAAACAAAACATCATTACAGCATTAAAAAAAAAAACATTCAATGAACCACATATTCTGAACACAGATAAACATTCACATAAAAAGGGGGGAGCACAGCAAGGAAATAACCATCATTGCTGGCTTCCCCAGGTCCCCAACAATTGTTACCCCGCAGCACTCGTGGCAAATGCAAGGCTGAAAGAGAACAGAATTGCTCTGTGCCTAAAAAACACCCCTCCAGCAGTTCTGTTTCATTACTTGCAGCTTGTCTAAATGAGCAGACGTTTTTTTTGGTGGTGGGGAAACCAGCCTGGATGTTTCCCTCTGCCCCCCAGCTCTGCCTGGTCAGCTTGTTGCAAGTGTGAGAAGTGAGCAGTGCAAAGAGCATCTCCTGCTGCAGGGCAGACCTCCTTCAAGTGGCTCCTGTAACACAGCACAAACAGCTCTTAGTTGCAGGACTTCTAAATAGGGAAGCAAACATTTTTGAGTTTCTAAGATCAGTTTTAAAGGAGAAAACAAAATAAAAACAGAATCTAATTCAGCAAGCAAATCAAATGGCAGTCACACTCACTTGGTCCATTTCTCTACAGGCCTCAACACATTCAGATCCTGCTCTTGTACACCTGAGAAGCTGCCCAGTTACACACAGAAAGGAAACCATCCAGGGCTTCATTAAACCTGCTAGCTACCATGCTAATAGGCAGCAGCAGGGTCTGAAAGGCTGCCAAATACTTAAACCTCATAGCTTCATAGGTAATTTTATAATGTAAACACCAACTTCCCCTCCTCCTCAACCTGCATTACTCTTAATGTATGACTAACAGGGCGAGTGCAGACTCCGTGCCCTAAGGGAACAGAAGTCAAAACCATTTCAGTCTTCTCCTATGGTCGTGATTCATTCTTTGGGCTGCACCACAGGCAAAAGCATTTCAGGTTCTCTCTTTAAAAACACAAGATTCACAGAACAGCTGCTGACGTTACCTCCTCACAGCCTCCTCCTTTTCCTGAACCTTTTCCTGATGCGCAAACTTCTCCTGATTTGAGGAATGCTGGCAGTCCCATCAGTGCAGGTGCCCACGATGGACTGTGCAGCAATCTCTTCGGTTTCCATGCCCTGCAACACAAGGGGAACAGACTATTTGCACAGCAGCACGAAACCTAGGAGGATTTGCAAGAAAACCCTTTCAGCCATCTTTTATTTTAGTTAGCACGGCAAGATTTAAAACAATACTCCATTTACACTCAAAATTAAGCACGGGACACGACACTGTATTACCACAATCCTAGCAAACAAAACATCCCAAACACATACATTTTTCAGCCAACACCAGCACTTCTTCCTACAGAGTATGATTCTGCCCCTGCTCTCCAGCCAGAACACACCTGATGTGGTTTCTCTTTGCCTGGACACAACTCTTTGCTAGAGAGGCTGGGTCTCCCACAAGTGAGACTGCAGCTTTCCTTTACCTTATCTGGAAAATCAGCATCTCGGTCTCCAGGCTCATCACCACCTGCTCCATCCGACCGTGCATCCAATTCATCCCCACCGCTCTCATCCTCAGACGCCTCCTCCTCGCTCTGCCACTCCTCTTCATCACTCTCTCCATATTCCCTCCTGCTGGCTGACAGAGTTGTTGCCACTTTTGGAGGAGGCAGAGTTGCTAGTACAGCAGGGAGCGTAAAGGCTGCTAGAAAGCGGGCTTTCAGCAGGAGAAAAGCAGGGTCATCACCGAGTTTCTCATGCACCAGTTCTGTGATAGCATTCAAGTCCACCTCACCCTCAGTCTGACTGCCATCAGGGGACAGAAGACGTGCTGCCTGTTTTTCCAGAGCTGCCTTTTGCAGAAGTAGCTTTGAAAGAGTTTTTAAGTTGCACAAAAAAGGTGGGAAATAAGGCAACCTGGTTTGCAGTGGTGGTACCTGGACACCTTGCTTCCCACTCAGCCATTCCTTCACCAGCTCCTCATCTTCAAAGGAAATCAGGCTATAGTCAAGAAGAGTCTTTTCGGCACTAGAAGTGGTTGGCTGGGGTGGAGCACTCGCAGCCTGTGCAGGGGGCGGTTTGGAGGCAATAGGTCTGTACTTCAATGCCTGCTCAGCTGAGCCTTCAGGATTTCCTGCAACACTGTCATGAGGAATTGAAGCTCCTGGCTGGAGCACAACCCCTTTATTAAGGACATTCGAGTTGGAAGATGATCCATTTGTAGATGAGTCCTGGTTTTCTCCCAAGCTAACAGCACCCGTCACGCAGTGGGAATCAGACCCCTGAGTGCTTGCAGGTGGCTGCATCTGGGGCAGCAGCTGAGCATGCGGGGTTGGTGCACCACCTGGAGGAGCATTCTGAGCTGCAGAAGGATCAACAGCCTTAGAGGAACCGTCTGAATGTGCAGATGTAGCAGAAGAAACACCAGATATGCTGCACGCAGGACTGGCCGAGCTCACGGGGAAGACACTTGCAGAATGGCTTACACCAGCTGTCTTTCCTGCTGGGCTCCCTGAAGCTAACTGGGGATTTGTTTTTGTCTCTGCATGGCTTGGCTGAGGCATATTTACTCCAGAGGATGCAGGAGGCGCTCCTAAACCACAGACATTGCCACTGGATGTCACACTTGCCTGACTTTGACTCCTCACAATAGCAGCTTGCAGACCTTGGGGAACACCCACAACGGCCTGCACAGCACTGGAGAGCAAAGCCTGCTGCGTTACAATCCATGTGAGAGGCAGCACGCTGTCAGGAGTCAAACGGGAGCCAGGCTGTGGAGCTAGAAGAGCAGGCAATAGATTGACTGGCCCAGGACGATTCAGTTCATAGGTAACTGGTGTGGGAAGAGACAGTTTGCTGTTGCCAGACTCTATGCCAAAAGGCACCACCGTAACTCGATGTGGCACAAAAGCTTGATTTTGCAACACTACTGGAGCTGAGCTACCAGCTAGGACCTGACTGCTGCACCCTCCTTGATCTGGGGCCTTTCCTGCTGCACCTGGATTCAGGCTTGGAAAAACTCCTCTTTCAGGGGTATTTTGTGGAGCTTGCTCGTTTAGTTCCTTACTAGATTGTACTTTTGTCTCTTGTGAGGAACGAGGGCTCTCCCCAGCTTTTGACACTGATGGAGAATGGTTTTCAAGCACGACAGGGGTAGAAGCAGAACCAGCAACAGAAGTAAACGCTGACGAGGCAGCTGGCACATGTTGTACATGGCTGGCTGTAGAGCCAACTGCTCCAGGTTTGCTCTCCACTTGTGCAGAAGGAATCATTGGCTGTGGTGGGTGCTGGATTATCAAAGGCCCTGAAAGCATCACCTGTGGGGCAACAAATACTTTTGTCTGCACAGCTTTCTCTTTTAGCTGCTTCTCCATCTGCCGCTTCTCTCTCAGCAATTCTGAGACAGTTTTAGGCTTCTGCCTTTGAGCTTGGGCTAGAGGAGCTAGAAGAGATGGGACAACTGGAGGAGCTGTCTGCCTCTTGGGAGCAGGCTGCGTTGCATCGCCTATAAGGTGAATAAGGGGGAAGAAAAACAAGTCTTCAGAAAGGAGGAAAGACTTTAGATGCTATTTTGTAGCTATTAGATATCAATCACCCTGCATAGGAAGTAGGAAAATTCCTGACTGGCAATTCTTACAACACTGTATTGTTGTGAGTACATGCTTGAGAGCAGTCTAACAGTGACAGCCTACAGACCATCAGGCAGGCATGATGACACCATGCCTACAGCCCTTCAGTATTTTTGCCAGTCCTTACCAAAATGAATGCATTAAGCCAACAACTGAAAGAGCCAAGAGCTACGAGAAAGGAGCAAGGCAGTGCGTTTCGTTTCAAAGTTCTCCTTCAGTTCCACTGGTTATTAACACAGTGGTGATGAACTAAGTGAAAGTTCCTGTGCATCATAACACCAAATGCTCTGAGAGGTACCTGAAGAAGACTCCGAGTTTTGGGAAGCCTGCAAAATAAATAAATAAATAAATAAATTAAATTATACTTGAGACATATAAAGATCATTAAAACAGCACAGATGTCAATCAAAGCATCATCTGTCAGCCTCCAATGTAAACAGCCACACAGGCAGCACTTTACTCTGCTTCAAATTAACTGGTAACACACAGACAATACCAACTCACCACATTCACTGAAAAGCCTCTGTTTTAGACAAGACTCCAGGGAAAAGCTTAGAAATAGTTGGTGCACAGTACCTGCTGAGGCCTGACTGCATCAGCCCTTCTCTCCCGAATGATCTTCATGCAGCCATTGGTGTCAATCCGAAAGAGCTGCAAGAGAAGCATTTTGTTACAAGTTGGTTCAGAAAAGGAATGTTGGTAGAGCCAGCAACACGACAAGGCGGATGGGAGAGGCTTCACATGAAAGACTCTGGTACACATTCACACTTGCAGAAAACTGTGACAGCATTAGGATGGATGCAGGGTTTACTAAATATAACATGCAAGCCAAGAGAACAGATCAATCTAGTAATTAGATTAATTCAAGTGAAAGATTTATAATTGTTTTTAAGCATCAAGTATGAAGATTACCACTCCTGTAAAGCAGATAATGCTATTAAGACAGAAAAACCTACCTGAATGAAAAGTGTGAACAGAGGAGTGCTGGAGAGACTGACCGACTTGAGCTTCTGTTGAATAGAATAAGCTAGAAAAAAAGGCCCACCATCAAAAATCAGCTGAATATTCACTTGTAAGGTGCCAGAAAACAGGGACATAAAGGAGCACCATCTCTGATGGGTTAGCACTACCTTTTGTTTGATCAAAAGCCATCTTCCCAGTTCGTGAGGTGCAAGGCAGCAGCACGTCGCCCACCCAAGGTGTCACAGCCATGAGGAGCTTCCTG